ATATTTGCCAGCAACATCTTTTTTTGCAATATCTGTTTTTATCGATTAAATACAGCAATTTCGAATATACTATTTATACTGTTCATTGGCCAGAAAAACAAACAATTCATACGGTAAAGTTTAGGTAAACTATTATATCAGACTAATGACTCAATTAACATGATAAAAACGATAAGGTAAGATAAGTCATGTGAATTTTTTCACCAGAGTCAAGCTATTTTATTATATGTTTGGTTTAGCGAGAGAAAAAAAGGAAGAAAGTTGTGAGCATCAATTGTGCATATTAGAGACATTAACTACAATACATAAATAATACCAAAATTAGCAAAATACAATAAGGCGTATAGTTAGCTAGCTTTTGCACGCAACTCCGCCCCTGCGAAATTAAAAAAGTTTGTTATGTGTTCTACCATACAGTGTCATGCGTGCACAATAAATTTCATCTAGATCCATGCAGCTATTCTGGAGATACCTTCTAACAAACATCCATACATTTGTACAAACATTCTGTCTGTATATTTGTCCGCAAAGCAGCTTTAGTTCCGGGTGATCTACGGAACGGCTGACGGTTTTGACGGTATTGGGCAGGAAGGTAGCTGATGCACGCCGGCATATTAAGGATCTCTTTTTTTTAAATTCTGACGACATCACGGGTGACCGCCAGTATTATATATTATTTTATCATAAGCGAATGAAAGATACAATAGTTTGTAATGACGCAATACTCGATTGTGACATTCGGTTGTCAATTGACGCAATATTGGTTAGCAGGGACATGTGACAGCCTAGATTGGCTAGAGTTCGTCGGATTGCAGCAGTGTTAATCATGTCCTAGACTGCTATACCCAGAGTTAGGACTAGGTAGAGACTATGAGTGGGGTAGGTACGTAGGTAAAAATTGAAAAAATATAAAAACAAATCAGCACAGATAATTTAACTAATTCTACCTCAAATCAAGGAAATTATTTAGGCTACTTCTTTTCATGAAATTGTTCATAATTATTCCAGTATAATCGCATCAGAATTCCTTTGTAAACAATTTGTACACATTGTTAATGTGATCTGACATATTTATAATTGTGGTGAGTGAACATTATGTTCAATATTATGTTACGAGTGAATCCGTTGTTTGCACAAGGAAAGTAGGTAGTTTGGTCTCGTTACCTTGATAAGGAAATATTTAAATATCAACCACAATTTATAATAATATAATATAAAAATAATATATTACAACGTTATGTAGATGTTTAAGTTATTAAATAGAAATTGATTAAATATAAATTTTATAAATAAAAATTGGTCATATATCAAGATTGTCTGACAGCAGATGGACACTAGAAACTACAAGATAGAAAGGGCCAGCGGGGAAAAGGAAGGTTGGTAGACCAATAAAGCGGTGGACTGATGATATAACCGAAGTATCAGGGAAAGATTGGCTCAAGCTCAGCAAGAATAGAACAGGCTGGAAGAAGATGGAGGAGGCCTTTACCCAAAGAGGGATCCATATTTAATATTAAATATAATGGACTAACAGTACTAATAACTAAAATTAAGCGTAAAACTAACAATACTAACAAAATAAAATTATAAAAACTATGTAAATATGGAAATAAAAGGCTTATTATTATTATTATATATATATTATTATTATAAATAAATTTTTAGTCATAAAATTGTTCTTTAAACTCCGAAACAAGAGCGATGACTTTACAGATTTAACCACAAAAAATATATGTCTTAATAGTTTATCTGTATTCTCTTATTGATCTCAGCTATGATACTTGTTATTGATTCAAGATGACAAGCTAATTCTTTCATTACTGTGGAAAAAAAAACAAAATGAGGGTCAAGAACCGAATTTGGAGCAAAAGTTTTTTTTTACCGTGGGTTGGAGCTGTAGAAAACACCTGTGCAAAAATGTATTTTGCAAAGATACTGATTGGAATAACAACATGTTTTTACAAGTGTTTCGATCGTGCAAACAGAAAGAAAGTATTTAGAAACAAACAAGGGCAACCTAAATAAAAACTTTTGAACGCAGTGTGCAGCGCAAGAGTTCACGATTCTCATGTTTAAAGTTCGATCATGACATACTGAGATTATTTTTAAATGTTTTTAATTTAAATTATTAAACCAGAGTTCCAGCAATTACCTACTATGCATACGCATACGTCATTACTTTGTTTATGGCCAGTAGGACTGACTTCAACTCTATAAATAAACTGACGCTCACTCATTCCACGCGACAAGACCACAGGGTTTCGCACAGAATTTTGATAAGACTGTACATAATTTAATGACAAGAACAGATGTGTCAAATACGTCATATTTTAAAGAGTATATTTACACATCGAGAACCGTGATTAAACCGATTCCTTTATGTCAAACTATACCACAAAAGTCCTGTTACTCCAGAAGTTAAAAGTCATTGTTGTATGCTTACGTTCCTTAACTTTAGTTCTAGGAGAAAATCATATATTTGCGAAGAAATTAAAAGGTGTGGCAAGTCAACCAACCCTCACAAAGCCAGGGTGGTTTACTAAGGCCTAGTCACCCTTGCTTCAGGGTAGGCTCGAATTTTATGTGACGAAGAAGTGTGACTATAGATTTACTGAATGGCAAAATGTCGAGTAAAGTCCGCATAGTCAACCGGCGTGGTATTGGTATCGTGTTACTGGACAATTTACATGAACAACGCGAACTTAGAAATCGCTACAAAATTGTGCTAACTCGTCGAAATGCAACAATTTCTATTCACTATAAAGTATTATTACAATATTATAAAGCAATGTTTCATTAAATTATTTCACAATATACTGCCATAACAAAATAAATTTTATTTCTACCACGGTTAATTGCTGCAGTTAATTAAAAAATTAAGTAAAAGTGTCATATTAATTGAGTTGAAACTGAAAACTGAAATTATTTATTTGATTTTGTCAAAGGTTATTGTTTAATCGTGTTTACTTTGTCTTAGAAAACTATAGTCTACAAAAGTCAATATATTTTAAACAAAAAGAAAGCCACAAGTATTTTTCCACTGTCTGCTACAATTCACTTTAACCGTCAAATCGTAATAACTAACATATACACTCAAATTATCGATATAAACAAGTTTTGCAAGGGATTTTATGAGTCATTGCGATCTTTGCATCCCAGCAATTAAATGTTTGACACACACGTTGTACGGCGAGTGCCTTCATACGCAATAACATTGTCACAATGAATTGTATCACGTCTTGAGTGGCCAGTACTTTAATCACATGCGAAGTCATCGTGTTAACAATGCCTTTATAAAATAACGATTTTTTAAAGGAATATTCCGTAAAAAAACTTTCGGATGTTTGATTTTATGCCTACGCACCTATTTTAGTAATTTTTAAAATAAAGATGAAGCTGGTGATTAAGGATAAGGCATATAAGTCTTTTTATAAAGAAAATAACCGAAGTGTAATTTACTTTCGTAATTATTTCAATATAGAATTGAAGTAATGAAGTTTTGGTAGAGCACCTAATGGTAATTACTCTCTCAAAATCTATTTACTTAATTAAAACTGATATATAACCGTGATTTGCTACTGTTCAAATACCCAATTATCTCACACTTTTCAAGAAGAATAACAAAGTTTACATTACATTTAACAGGGTTTTACATTACTATTAAAAATTCAAGGAACCATTGAAATAAAATATAAGACTGCAATGAATCGTACGTACTCGATAACTTTGTAAACTTAAGGTCATTAACCTATTTATCGAATTGAGAATGTGACGAAACAATAATTAGTATTCAAAACCTGAATTCAAAATTTTCCAACAAAAAACACGATTGTTTGTGTTAAGGAAATAAATAAAATAACATATGAAAAACATTGTTAGGTCTCAATAGTAACCAAGAATGCCAGAATCGGAGGAACTAAATGACAGAAGTTTACTAACAATTAATCTTTACAAATGAAAGGATAGTGTATAAAGTAAATTTGGCGTCATTATAAAAATATTTAAACAATTATCTTATTCGCAGCGGTAGACAGTAAATATGGCTTTATCAAGCGAAATTATTATAAAGACGAAAGTATTAAATAATACACAAAACTATCTTAAAGTTTTAAATTTTTAAAACATTACGAATTTCAAATACTTACATTCACAAGACCTTGCTTAGACTTGAACACTTTGATGTCATTTTGTAAAAAGATATACAAGGAAAAAGACAAAATTGTATACAACTGCGATAAGATATTATCCTTAAAATATCTTTAGCTTATTCAAGTGCCTTTTTTATATGTTGTAGGTACTTTGATATGGTGGCAGGGTATGTCAGGTGCCAAATGGAATAAAACGCTACCCACAAGACGAGTCATCAGCGTGAGTGTGTTTATTTACATGAATTTATTTGTGTCAGTGTTCTTAAAAATTACCTGGTAAGTATATTTTTATTTTAATGCAGTGACTATGTAAATTTGTAAAGATAATTAATAATATTCATTCCATTAAAAGAATTAAAAAAGTTTGTTTATGGTGGGAGAAAATATCAAGTACTCAGTATAATCTTTAATAGGTATTGTATAGAGATACATGCTTGCTTTACATATTACAGTTAGTCTAATTATCTATGCTTTAATGGAGGAAATATTTCTATCATGCACAACCAATCACTAGCTCGCAGTATGCAATTAAACAACAGCGTTTGAGATAGTCGAATGACGCATGGGCTTCTGAACATTGACTATTAATAGCCGGATATTACGATCTTTCTATTTATTAGATGCCGTTGTATTAACATTGTACAATAAACAAAGAATACTTCATCAATGAACGCCTTCTCTGATCTTTATGACGTGCGGTCTGCGCGAGACCGCAGAATGTGCGGGGTTTGTTCCCGGATCGCCGTCCGACTTGCGCAAAATGATAACATTATACATCGTATCAAAACAATACAGCCAATCATACTGGTGTAACAAAAAAACTAAAGTATAGGTCATAGTATTTAAACTTACCAAGAATTTCTTATGTCCTTAAACGTGATGCTGTTTGATCGACTTAGTTTACGTCCGATCGTCCAGAAACGTATCTTGTTGTGGTTATCCTCCTCCCGAAAGGGGTTCAGATGCTCAGGATAGTCATAAATCGAGACTGTCTTCCGAGGTCCCGCCATCGTCGTCATAGTTGCGACTCCGAAGATTTTCCGATTGTAAAACTTTTACATAACAGGGGCACAGCGAAGCAGGCGTCGTCCACTTCGTTTTTTATCTGTTATCACTCTGGTAAATTATCACGAACTGATATAGTGTCGTTATCGCGGCGAGATAATAGCTCTGTTTGTTTTATTAGAAGTCGATTCAGCGTCAGAGCGCTCGGCGTGGCGGCGCGCGGCATACTAGCGTGGCGTGCCGTGGTGGCGGGCTCGCGGACTGGAGGCGGCTGCAATCGCCCCGCGGCACTGTCTTCACCCGCTACCGCGTCAGCGTGAGCGCAAGCGATCGCTTGCATTGTTGCATCTTGAGCAAATGTGTACTGCACCGGTAGATGTTTTATTGTCCTAATCATTCCGTTGCGCGTCGACGAGTTTATAATGACTGCTGCAATCATAATGTACCAAATGACCTTATTATCAGTAAAACTTATTGCCTTTACATTGTTAACCTTTCTATTCATTTTGTTTGGATTAAAGAAAATGACCAAAAAGAAAATGTTAATGCAATATCGTACGTCAGTTGTTTAATATGTACATAACGTCAGGTGACAAAGTACATATTACGTGTCACCCACCGAAAGGCGAAGGCCAAGTAAACCTAATAAAACATTTCAAGGTGCGACTTGAAATACTTAGTTAATAAGAGACTATAACATTTTTCAGTTAGTATTACGTAATTGCTTACTTTGTTATTGATTTTTCTGACTTACAAGATGATTCGTGTGGATTGAGAAGACTATACCGAGATTATAATAATCATTTATTCGACCTTGTGATAAAATACGTTTCCCGTAACGAAGGAAGTATTTAGTGACGACAGCTGCTCGTAGATTATGTCGTCTGGGATTATAAAAGTCTTTTATTGATCCATGATCGCACAATAAAAAGCTCGTTACCGTTGCATTGTTGACGCGCTCTATTTTAAAATGACATACAATCACAAGACGAACATGTTGCGTCTTCAAAACAGCTTTATGTCTACACTTTGTTAGAATGAATTTGTTTACTATTTAATATTATTTATACACCTGGAACATCGCAAGAAAATAGTCATAATTATCTACTTCTTTGAAATTATTTTCCATCAATCCATCTGTCGTTTATTCTTCGCAAGATAATAAGGTAGATGTATTGCTGTTGTATGTGTTCATTTAAGAAAAATGGAGTCTAATTTAGTTTGTTATTGACGTGTTATGTTTGATATCGATCCGGTGACCTGCGCCTGTACCGTAACACATTAATTTGGGTCGATTTTTTTCCTTTGAGTTAGATGAACGCGATTGGCTGACTGCCCACTGCAAAACGTAACACGAAACTCTTAGTCATCGTACTTTTACATTTTATTTTTCTTATAATGTCTAAAAAGGAAAATATTTATATCACAAAGACTTTGTATTAAAGTGGATTGTAACAAATTACGTTTTTTACCTCATTTGGTACACAATTTGCTTTATGTTTATTGTCGTTTGACTGAAGCGAGCATGCATTGTAGTACCAAGTAACGGAAAACATCAAAAAAGTTAAAAGACGTCAAAGCATAGACCAAGGAAGTTTACTGTAAACCCAAATTAAGTCTTCTAGATATATGAAGCGCTTATAGCCTAAAAGTTAAGAGTACAGAGATCCGATCATATAGCTGTGGGTTTAATCTTGTATTCCTTTAGTTAGGAGACGTAATAAACAAATGAACAACTACACCGTAAGGTCATTCACCTCTTTCTTTGAATTTTAAACAAGACAACACTTCTCAAGATTACTTTGCTTTCTTGAAGTCTCAGTCAGAGGTGTATAACCGCCTGGGAAAACTCGGCTTGTGAAGCACCAATTGCTCGGCTGTGTGCTCGCTGACTGGGTCAATTGTTAGGACATAAACTAATGAATGTTCAACAGTATCTTCTTACTATAGTACCCTCTACTTTCAGCATAATCTTTAAGCACTAAAATGTATTTATTTGTTCGGGTTACCAGCAACCTTTATTGTCTTAGTTACGGTAGTAACGGTTAAAAAATTTATAGATTCATCTCATAGTTTTTGTTTTCTTTTACTTAAATAAAATAAAATATTACTAGAATAAGCCTTCGTACACAGTTCGGAACTTATATAACCTAAAGAGCGATGATGATGAAAAAAAAACAATCAGATGAGCGCCCTTATATTCACTACAGACGCTTCCTGCACATTTCAGAACACATAAAGAGAGTTTGATAATCAACCGTAACATTTTTATTGCTATTATTAAAGTGGTTATTTGCATGGACATTAAGGATGGAGATTTCTATTTTTGTAGGTTTTACTAGTGAAAAAATAAAGAACGAAAATGTAAAAAAACCTAATGTCCGGTATAGCTACTACTTGAAGTAGTTGAAGTTCTGTAATTTTTTATTCTACTGCAAGACCAATGTTCCGAGAAATTTTTCGCGTTTATGAACCAATTAGATACGTTTAATTAGTAAAGTCTAGATTTTGCGTAACAATTAAATCGGTCTAGTTTCTCCACATTTTGTTTATTCGCAACCTACTTTCTCTTTTTTTTTTACATTACTTTTATTAATACGGTGACATAAACTTTTGTGTGAATTTTGCTTATTTTCAGAGTAAATTGTTCCGATCGTAATAAGTTGATTCTTCAGCGATTAAAGTAGAATCTAGGATCAAAGTGCAAAAAACATTAAATTACGCTTACGCTCACATATAATAGTCAACAATTATTTTAAAAGAACTTGTGTATATCCATTGTTTTGAGTCGCAATATCACGATATCGTGTATGTATGCATGTTCGGTATTGTTAGCTGTCATGCGCATGCGCTGGATTATGAAGGAAGCGACGACTTACCTCGGACATTACAAAGAGGATGCGCCGCGACGGATGACATTGAGCGCCAATCCCAACCAGACACTAAATGCTTGAATTTAACTCTAACAATGCGTATTTTGTTGGATACTAACAATTTTCTCTAGTTCTCTTCTTTATTTACAATTTATTTTCCTTCTCAAATCGACCGAAGTTTTTAACTCTATACAATTTGTAAAAGAAAATAGCTGTACAAATAGTACGTTACAATTCTTTCACTTGTTAGATTTTGTTTCGTTATTATTAAAAGAAATTTAAAAACCAATAATTTTCGTTTTACCTCCTTTCTTAAATTTTTCTTCATAATTTGACATTCCGAGTTTCCATAGCAACTATTTTGATGTTTATCCAAAACGTACACATCGATCTTAAAGATTAATAAAAGTTTTGAGACATAACATTAAAATAAACGTAATGGAACCTTAGATAGTAGTTTATATTAAGTTTTTTATTAATATTTTACAAATCTAGAATTGTAGTCTAGGGGAGATGGCAATCAATACACCGCCAATTATCGCGGCTCGTATTTTTTACGGACTACGGACTGACATACAGTAAGTTTTTGCACCTAAGACACTTTAGAAATCTATACATTATTAAACAAAATCTTTGCCACATTAAGTAAGAGTAAATATAATAGAGAAATTTGTAACCTCTGTAAAAAAAAAACTTTTTTTCGTAGGTCATTTAACCAGAGTAAATTATGGTGTTAAGTATTAAAACTATTTTCTTTTTTCAGGTACAATGTTCATTACCTAAGTGATTCGGAGATAATTTATCCTGCAGGAGGAGTTATAGTTATTCACAATCATTTACAAAAGAAACAAAAGTTTATTCGTCTTCAAGATAAACATAAACCTATTAAATCAATGGTCCTTGCTCCAAACAGGTGAACACATAATTCTGGAAACAATAAGATTTGAACTTACTCCTTAATCATAAATTAATAAATAATAAATGAGAATGTGAGCAAAATTGTAGGTCTTTAGGTGAATTTTTTCTCCAACAAAGATTGCGAATATTAATTATATCACTAGCCAGGCTTCGTTTATTAACAATTTATCACAATAGTTTAGAAATGAAAAGGAACATCAATTTTATAAATTTCAGACGATGGCTCGCACTAAATGAAATAGCCGAGGAAGGTCAAAAGCCTATTATAACAATTTACGACTTGACCACATACAAAAGGCGCAAGATATTAACCGTACCGTTCGAGAACTCGACTGCTAGAGAGTTTGCGTGCGTTCAGTTCACGTACGATTCTAAATATCTGGTCGCGATAACTGGCGAGCCGGATTGGTATTTGTATTATTATAACTGGGATAAAGGAAAAGTCGAAAGTCATGCCAAAGCCCAAAACCCAAGCGGACAAGGAATCGTCGAAAGCGTAATATTTTCACTCTATATTGTTTGCGTTTATCTCATACTTCCTTGTTCTTATTTGATAATAGCTTAATTTTATGATATCAGTTTGCGATTTTGATTCTAAAATAAGCAAACAACTTTATTGTGCTACTTTTAACTTTTATAGCATAAAAAGCAAATGCATATTTCATTACATAGTTTAATAGCAATTTATCAATTATAGGGCAATGAAATTGCAGTAGTTTCATTCCGTCGTGAAGTCTAGCTTATTTATTTTCAACCTACGACTAGGCAATAGCTCTAATGCTTATTATTTTACTGGCAATTTTTGCTTAGGTACAATGTAATCCTTCTGACGCAACATTGGTCGTAATAACCGGACCGTACACATTCCGTATTATGAACGTGGCTGAAACCGTGTGGCGTCAATGGGGATGGTGTAAAGCTGAAAATGTTAGTAATGTTTAGCTTTAACATTTCCGTATTATAAAATAGGACTTATGTAAGTATTGTTCTAACTGCCATAGTCATTCGGTTAAATCGTCTCTAAGCATTAGTATGAACTCTTTATGAAGTAGACGATAAGGAATGGAGATGAATGTCGTTTACTTGTATCTGTAGATCAACATAACTAGTTGCATGTGGCTGAATCCGGACCGCATTATGTTCGGCACGGACAGCGGCATGATCATGCTGGTGGAAAACGGAGAGCTGCGACAGAACTGCGTTTTCCGTGCTCTTGAGGTCATGGAGATGTCCATCAAGAAGGTTGAACCAGAGTAAGTATAATGTGTAATAAGTAGAATAAAGTATTCAGTCAGAGAAATGTATTAAAGGAAAAGAGTTGAACACACTACTAACAGTGGAACTTTCTTTTCTTAATTACAGAACAGAAGAAAGTGATAAGACTAGTACAGCCAGTAAGCCTGATACTACCAGTGACCAAGTGTTCGCAGACACTGAAACCTACCCAGTAACATGTTTTATTAATTTTCCAAAAGGTAAAGTTGTTTTCAAGATAATTAAGTAATCCAAATCATTATGAAATTCTACATTTTAGTCCCCTCATAGTGACAGTGAGAACAATTTGAAGTCAATAAAATATGCT